TCAGGGGTAGGCAACCTAAGGCCTGTGGGCCAGATGTGGCCCAATTGCCTTGTAAATCCAGCTCATGGACGGTTCAGGAATCAGTGTGTTTTTACATGAGTAGAATGTGTCCTTTTATTTAAAATGCATCTCTGGGTTATTTGTGGGGCATAGGAATTTGTTCATATTTCCCCCCCCCAAAAAAATATAGTCTGGGCCCCCACATGGTCTGAGGGATGGTAGACTGGCCCATGGCTGAAAAAGGTTGCTGACCCCTGGGCTAGGTACACGCAGCCCTACTTGGTGGGACTTCTTAGTGTTGAGAGCCACTTAATCAGCCATCGGTTACTAAAGTCTGATGGGAAGTCGAGATGAGGCACATACTTTCCCCCCCTATCTGTCCCTGAATGTCAAGTGGCCCTTAACATTCTTTCCATTGAGACAGAAATTTAGATTCGAGATGGGACCTTAGATGTGACAACATTCATGCAATTAGTCAAGTGTGTGACTGTGTTTGAGTACAACAGGTGCAGGGGAGTCAATCCATATTGGTGCGGGAGAGGTAAGGGAATTTCACCTTTGCTTTCTACTGAAATCCCAGTTTGAACTGTCCCTCTCGTGCCTGTTACTTGGATTGAGATTAAACCTCCCACTGGGGTCTTTTGTGAGCCAGAGTTAGTGCTCCAGCTGCAGCCTCTCCTAGAGAGAGGACAACTTCTTGGAGGTCTGTGCTATGACTACAAGAAGCTGCCTAAGTCAGGCTATTGGTTCATCTAGCTCAGTATCTTCTACATCACTGGTCTTCAACAGGTGGGTCAGGACCATGGCCTGGTCCAAGGTGGGTTGTGCAGGAGCAGCTGAAGCCTGCAAGGGATCAATTTATCCACTAGCAGCATGAAAATATATGGTAAAAGATTAAGAAACGCCCCCAGTACCGTTTCTGAGCACAATTCAAAGTGTTGGTGTTGACTTTTAAAGCCCGAAATGGTCTCAAATGTTCAGGACACCTGAAGGAGCATCTCGACCCCCCATCGTTCAGCCTGGTGGAAGGCCCCATCGTTCAGGGCCTTCTGGTGGTTCCCTCACTGTGAGAAGTGAGGTTACAGGGAACCAGGCAGAGGGCCTTCTCGGTAGTGGCGCCCACCCATCAGATGTCAAGGAAATAAACAACTACTTGACTTTTAGAAGACATGTGAAGGCAGCCCTGTTTAGAGAAGTTTTAAATGCTTGATGTTTTATGCTATATTTAATGTTCTGTTGGGAACCACCCAGATTGGCTGGGAAAACCCAGCCGGATAGGCGGGGTATAAATAAAGAAGAAGAAGAAGAAGAGGAAGGAGGAGGAGGAGGAGAAGGTGAAGAAGAAGAAGGTGAAGGTGGTCCCCAAATGTATGTTTGGGTTAAAAGTGGGACCTGGGGCTGAGAAGGTTGAAGATCTCCTGTCTTCTACAAATGTGGGGAACGCCTGGTCCTTCAGATGTTGCTGACCTACAACTCTCAATCCTGGGTCATTGGGCATGCTTGCTGGGACAGATGGGAGTTGTAGTTCAGTGTCATCTGCATGACCAAAGGTTTCCAACACCTGGCCTACACTGACTGGCAGTGGTGCTCCAGGGTTTCAGACAGACAACACTCCCAGCCCTGCCTGGAGATGCCAGAAACCTTTTGCATGCAGAGCAGATGCTCTGCTTCCCCACACCTGCTATTTTCATTGGGAGGAAGTCTCTTACAGATGTACTGTCTTCAGACGAAGTTGGTGCTCCAGGTGCAATCTCTCCTAGGCAGAAAAATAGCCTGGCCATGACCACTCATGCTCTGCTAACATTGAGGGTTGACTGTAATGTGTTATATGTGAGACTTGCCTTTTCAAGACTGTCCAGAATTCCTTTCATAACACTTTGCTAGGCTCCTAACCCTACTGGGGTAGCTAACCTGTGGTTCTCCAGCTGTTGTACTGCAGCTACCATTGTTTCTAAAAGGGACAGGGGTGGCGCGGTGGTCTAAACCGCTAAACCTCTTGGGCTTGCAGATCAGAAGGTTGGCGATTCAATTCCCTGTGACGGGGTGAGCTCCCATTGCTCTGTCCCAGCTCCTGCCAACCTAGCAGTTCAAAAGCACACCAGTGCAAGTAGATAAATAGGTACCGCTGCGGTGGGAAAGTAAACAGTGTTTTCATGCACTCTGGTTTCCATCACAGTGTCCTGCTGTGCCAGAAGTGGTTTAGTCCTGCTGGCCACATGACCCGGAAAGCTGTCTGTGGACAAACGCTGTCTCCCTCTGCCTGAAAGCAAGATGAGCGCCGCAAGCCCATAGTCCCCTTTGACTGGACTTAACCATCCAGGGGTCCTTTACGTTTACCTTTTTACCATTGTTCCTGACCATTGTCCATGCTGGCTGGGGATGATGGGAATCCAGCATCTGAAGTACCCCTGCACAGGGTAGTGATCCCTGGCTAGCTGCTCCATTTCTGTTTGCCTTTAAAGCGCCACACATTTTGGGAACTAAGTATCTTAAGGAAAGCCTGTTCCCGCATCAGCCTGCCCATACATTCAGCTAATCAAGGCTGGTGTTCTTCTGGGTGGTGAATGGGGATATAGCCTTTTTGCTAGTGGCACCTTGTCTACAGAATGCCCTCCTCAGAGAGGCTTGCTTGGTGCCTGCTTTGCTGTCCTTTCAGCACTACGAAATGACCTTGCTCCCTTCTCTTTGTATCTCATGTGATTTGTACTGACGTTATTGGCATTTTGTATTGCTGTGAAAAATACTGAAACCCGCAGGCCTGAAAGGCAGTATATAAATGCATAAAACAAATAAATCATGCTGTATTTGGTGCAAGTGAGAAAGGACTCAAGTTAACCTTTAGAATATGTGTGTGCGCACACAAATGTGTGTGTGTTTGTGTGTTGCCTAGAGGAGCTGTGGCAGTGACAATGTTATTAAATGCTACTAAACTGTACGTTGAACTCTTGTATGAGATAACACTTCCCCTCGGCTGCGGCTGTAAACAGGGAGACATGTTACATTCTGCCTGGCTTGTCTTAAACCAAAGTGACACAGAGAGAGCGAAAATATGGTGCTCTTTAGCTTCTACTTCCAGGGGTATGAGGCTAATTGTTCCAGCTGCCAAGCTCTCTGCTCTTTGGCTGAATGCTCTTGTGGAACAGGTCAGGTTGAGGCACCACTGCCGAAGCTGCGCTCTGACACAAGGGCTAATGTTTATTCGCCCTGTCATTTCTTGTTCTACTTTCAAGAGAGGTTATAGCTAAAGGTCAAGGGAGAGCCACTGTCTTATTCCACCCCCCCACCCCCACCCCAGAAACAAAAATCAATTGAAGGACCTAGAACACAATAAGTTATGTTACAGCGCTACACTCGCGCGAATATTCCCATTGGAGACCTATCAATGTGAGCTAGCACTGTTGGGAAATCTCTCCAGCTGCCCCAGTTAATCAATACCTTTGTTCATTATGCTGTCTCTGATAGATATGGATAATGATTGGGCAAGCGTTGGTCAGGTGACTAGAAATAACGGCACCTCGTAAACAATCAATAGAATCTCCCCCATCCTGTATTATTCAGGCTGTTGAATATTCCCTCCCTCCCCCTTTTCTAACACAAGTCACACATTGTTGATAGATCAACATCATTATAGGAGCAGCTTTATTAAATTAATGGCACTTAATCGCCTGCCATTGTTGACCCGCATGGAGTGAATGAGCAGACAGCGAGGGTGCAAGTAGCCCAGTGACCAGGCGATTAAGCAGGGGCCATTACCACAAGCCGCCTTTATGGGTGCTTGCTTAACTCTCTCCTCCTGCTATTAAAAACTCTTGCAGAAAGAACAGTTCCACACAGCTGGGAGAATTCTTGCCAATTGTAAATGTACTGCAGCAGGTGAAAAGACCATAAGTGTGCCTGGTTTCCTTGCAGAACTGTATTAACACATTTAATAGAACCATAGGAATTTATAGTATTAAAAATTATAGGATAACAGGTATTTGTTTAATTCGAGGTTATCTTACCCAGCATTGCTTAGCTTTTCATCTGGTCCCCAAGTTTTAAAAACACAAAACCTAGCAATAATGGTGCAATCCATACAGGAGATCAACATGCAGAAGGTTTCGATATGTGCAGCTGATATAAATGTGCATTTGCATCATTATATTGTAACCTGGGACCGATTGGACTAGCTGGATTTGTCTTGTCTTGTAAATGGCAGCATTCATGGTAGCAGGAGCAGGAGCCAGAGAGGTGATAATCGCGAAAGAACATTTAGAGCCATTGACACCAAGCCAATGTGGATGACGGACACCTGAAACTTCAAAACAGCAACTCCTCAGTTTGATAAAAGCCACCCCACCACACTGCAACCTAAATCTGAGAAAAATCCTGAAATTCATATTAGGGCAAAACCTTTATTAGGCCAACCAGAATATCACAAAGTAGTGTGCAAGCCTTGGAGATCTGCAGAATTCTTCATCAGGCTGGATGGTAAACAGAGCAAATTGGAGGGGGGGGTGCAGAGTGATGCTGAAACAGGTGAGTCTCCATTTGGTGAGAATGTTAAGAAGGAAGGGAAAGAAGGTAGTCAACCGGGGCCCTTTTGGGTGCAATGGAAGTTTCAGCTTCAAGGCATTTAAAAAGGTAAAGGTAAAGGACCCCTGACAGTTAAGTCCAGTTGCAGACGACTCTGGGGTTGCGGCGCTCATCTCGCTTTCAGGCCGAGGGAGCCAACGTTTGTCTGCAGACAGTTTTTCCGGGTCATATGGCCAGCATGACTAAGCCATTTCTGACGAAACCAGAGCAGCGCACGGAAACGCTGTTTTACCTTCCCGCCGGCACGGTACCTATTTATCTACTTGCGCTGGTGTGCTTTCAAACTGCTAGGTTGACTGGAGCTGGGACTGAGCAATGGGAGCTCACCCCATCATGTGGATTCGAACCGCTGACCTTGCGGTCGTCAAGCCCAGAGGCTCAGTGGTTTAGACCACAGCGCCACCTGCATCCCTTGTCAAGGCATTTAACAACGGCCAATTCCCCATCTCTGAAAATACAAATTGTCAATAGAGATGGACCTAGCCAGTTCTTGTGTTTTCAGAGATGGGTAATTGGCCGTTGTTAAATGCCTTGAAGCTGAAACTTCCATTGCACTCAAAGGAGCCTCTGCTGACTATCTTCTTTCCCAATCCACATTAACATTGGGTGCATCAGACCTAGGGTTGCCACATATCCAGAATTTCCCAGATAAAGCTGGAATATGGCGGTTGGAGACAGTGTCTGGGCTGAAATTCCTGAAATGTCCAGGAAAATCTGGATGTATGGCAACCAGTGTTGTAAGTCTAGATTTTGGTGAGTTTCCTTTAAAATAACGAGATTTTGCAGGAAAAGGTCAACAACTTTGGGCAAAAACAGATTCACCGTTTGACACACCTCTGCACATGGTCATGTTCTTATGTGCTGGAAGCCAACAAAAGTGGCCGGGGCAAACCCAACCACATGGGCAGGGTATAAATAATAAAAGTGTTGTTGTTGTTACCACTGTTACTATGATCAGGAGTGATGAGACGAACGGTTTTCAACCCCCCCTTGGAAAGCTGTGTTTTATGTTGCTTTCTTTGATATCCCAGGCAGTAGCCTGAAACATGAGGTCCCTATAACTGGGGGTGACACCCTCCCCCCTTGATTGCCATGTGTATTACATGATGTATTTTAAAATGCTACATTTGGGTGCCCTCCTGTTCATTCTGCGGACTGGGGGTCTGGACAGTCTTGCCCTGATGGCATCGCCGCTGCCTGGAATTAGGTCCTCCCCCCGCCCCACTTGCCCGTGGCTGTCCTAGCCAGAAAAAGTGAGCTGCAACAAGAACTAGGCCTTTCTATTTTCTTTTTTAAAAATATTATTTTTATGTATTTTCCAAAAACAACAAAAAAATAAAAACAATACATATTCAAACATAGAAAAAAATTGAGCTGACTTCCCCCTATTCCATTCCCTGGTTCCATTGTTTATCATTGCACCACATGTCCATTTTAAATTATAAAATCATTAAAATTACTTATTGTCCAGGCATAATGTCTCTACAAGTATTTTAATAATCCTGCTAATGTTAACCTGTGTACATTGCTGCTTCTGTATAGATGCAATAAAGTCCTTCCAATCTTCTTTAAATTCATTGTCATCTCTTCCTCCTAATTTCAAAGTCTATTTTGCCATTTCACCATATTCCATTAATTTCTTCTTTACCTGGGACACCTTCTTCTTTCCACAGGCCTTTCTGTTTTCCTCCCTCTATGCAACTTCCAGCAAGCACTGTGTCGCTTAATGCAGCCGTAAGGCAATTAGTTTCTCCATAAGCAGGCGAAAGTGCCATCACCGACAGCATTTCTCAGCTGACCTTTTGTTTAAGAAGGCACCTTGTTACTGTCTGCCTGATAGCAGAACGGGAGTGGTCCCTACTCGCAAATCAATAGTCAGTTGTAACAAAAACTAATCCATTCAAAAGTATGTATTCTGACAAGGATTACAAACTCAACAGAGATTACAAACTCAGAGATTACAAACTCAAACCCATAAGGATATGTATAACACAATAATTCGTTACAGAATTAGAGATGAGTTTATGAATAGAGATAAGTTCATGTTAGTCCGTAGTCAGATTCCCACTACTGAAACTTATATTGGCCTGAATTCTTGGTATGCTTTCTTCTTGGTATATTTAATAACAAGAACTCCAACTTATTTAATGATAGCGGAACGGAGCAGCCTGTGGCAGCCTTGGGCTTCCCAAAGACAAATTGAAGCGCTCCTGGCGGGGCCTCTCTGCCCTTGCTACCGCAGGCATTGAGAGCAGGCATTGAGAGCGCGCACTTGCGTACTTGGAGGGGGCCGCCAGGGGAAGCCCTGGTTCTTGTACTCAATTTCCCCTTCGCAAGGGATAAACAGGCAATTACGCATCCTTTAATAGTTGATGGCCAAGTGCTGAACTTGAGAAGAGACTATTAGTTTGTGTCCCTTCAGGGCCAGGGCAATAAGTAGCCGGGAGAGATGGGGGCAGCGAACAGAGGGTGTAGCCTGCTGTTAAGCGTGACAGTTTTGTCAGCGGCGCTCGCATTAGCGGAAGGTAATAAAGTGACAAGCAAGTTATTAGAAAGATATGAGGCGAAATTGAAGGGGAGCTTCTTGTCGCTTGCCTCGGCTTTTTCCTCTTTGGTAATGGCCTGCTATTTGTTACAAATCGAGCCTTGGCTTGAACTCTTATATATATATATGTAACAGAAGTATTTGTTCTCTGCAGGAAAGGTCACATGAATTTATTACAACACATTAGAAGAGAGGAAATAAATAAGTGTTTTATGACAACTAGTACGTCGGAAGTTAAAAAACAACGCTGCTGCTTCGTAACTGACAAGGGACAGCTGGCTTCTCAAAACTGCCTTTTGAAACCCCTCTCTTTCCTCAGGGATAATTAATACCAAAACGCATGAAGAGAGTTTTGAGAAATTGTTAGCTGCTAACTTGTTTGTGAAACACCAGGGAATTTTGCCCACTCTGCCTAGCAAAGACGGCAAAATATAGCCAAAACGGAGGACTGAGTCAAACTCCAAGGGCACAGTATTGGTGTAGCAGCTTGATCTATGCATGACTTGCCCTTCTGGTCCTTGCGTGCACAAAAGGGGGCAGCTAGCAAGGAAGAGCAGCATGTGGCTGTGCTTGCGCGGTGCTCCCATAAACATGCACGCATGCACTTCCAAACAGATGCCTTATTTTGTTCATTTTGGGGCACATGTGTGGGGAGATGGGTGACTCATCTGAAACACTTCCTTCCTCCATCCAACAGATTATCAGTCCTATCAAAGTCTGTTTGAGGGAGAAAGATCATTGCATTCGATGGAAGCATTTTCCTATGTTTCAGGGGGGTGGGTAGAGTGGTGACATGGAAAAAATTGATCCCCACCGGCTGCTGTGAAGCATCTTCCACTCACCATCTTCCCACAGAAGATGACAAGGCCCTCTTCTGTATCTTCTAATGGTCAATAGTATCCCTTCTCCCCTTTAGAATATAATTATTTTATATCATGTACTTAACAAAAGAAAGATGGGGTGTAGAAAATGACAGTGATGGGTGGCTTTCAGTTAGAATAACAATCAGCCAGGAGGAATACTGTAAACTTTTTTTTGGGGGGGGGGGATATTTCAGGAAGTTGTTAAGTAACTGAAAATATTTTTGGATATTCTTTTAGTTTCTTTTAGCCAAGCACCTCCCCTCCCCCCTCCCCGCAAAGTAGTATGTGACAATTCAAAACCCTACCTTCCAGAGAAGTCAAGAGAGAGGGGTCTTTCATTTCAGATTTTAGACATCATCATGCAAAGCTGCAGTTTGCTGTATTTGTGATATAAGCATGCCCCAAAAGGGAATGGGCCGCTGGGGAATCAGCAATGATGCAAAGAGAGGGTGCTGCATAGCCACAGAACTTCACGGATTTGCTAACTTAAATTAATGCATATTTTGTGCAGCTTTGTTTCTGTGCTTTACCATCAAAACACCTTTCCGGGGAGCATAGGAAACTGCCTCATACTAAGTCATTAGTTCATCTCGTAATTCTTCTCCAAGGTCTCAGGGATCCCCTTTCGCCATCCTCGACTGCTACCTGGGATTCTTTTCACTGCAGGTGGCAGAGAGTTCACCTGGAATCATCTACCTAGCAACACAAATGCTGTACTCCTGAGCTATGGCTCATCTCCTACTTTTCGTCAAAAGATGTGCCTTTCCAGATGATGGCCCTACATGCACATCGTTCTGTTGCACAGGAGTCCGTGGAGTAAATTGTGTTGGGCAAAAGAGCCCTAGGCACCAACCTTGCACTAGGGAGCAGCTTGAGACTGCCGATTCTCTTCTAATCAGGCTTCATATACGCTAAAGTTCTACAGGAAGAGAGAAAGGAGAAAAGAATGAATTAAAACCTTATGGCAGTAGCAAAATCTTGTTTGTTCTTTTGAAAAACAAAGCTGAAAACTGTAGATTATGTTCAACAGAGCACCAAGGCTAAGAGTCTTGTCAGTGCAAGAATTTCTCAGTGTGTGAAATTTTCCCTTCTCCTTCCCCTGCACCCTCCAAATTTTTTTCTGGGGGTTTCCCAATCCTCCAGAGCAGATCTGGGGGTGGCATGGGGTGCACATGGTGCGAGAAGAGGGAAAAATCCATTGCACTATTGCTAACTTCTTGGCAAAGTCATAATAATGTTTGCCATAAAATATGAAAATGCAAAATTGCAGATGTGAAATTTGATTTTTTTATACCAACGTTGGAGTGTTTCAGGCCTGGTAACTTGTTTGTTTAGAAGGTGCCAAAACATTAAATGTTATAAGCAGTTAGCTGTAGAATGCTAAATAGCTATTAAAATCTGTCAGGTGTCCAAAATTTCAATAACATTGTTGAATATTGAATAATACTGAATATTGAATATTTCATTCAAACATTAAATATCAAATGTTTACATGTATCACCGGATACCAAATACAAGTATATGCATTTGGTGCATATGTGGATACCAAAATAATATCCTAAGAATGTTTAACATCAACCCAGGAGAAATTTGGAAATCATTTCAGCCTGAAAAGGAACAGAGAGCAAGGCTGATATATGCCTTTAGTGGAATGTGTGCTATTGTGTAGGTTCCTGGAAAAAAATGCATTTCATCTCTCATGTAGATATTGGCAGGTACTAAAGAGGGCCTGAAAACTCACGTCTTCCACATTTTCTAAATTAAATGATGATTTAATGACTGAACACTTAGATTGCATGCATGTCTGTTACTACAATGTCACCGCGGTTTCTGCTGCAGGTTAATTGATGCTCGTATTTTGCATTTTGACCCTTTGCTTCAGGGGGCAAAGGTTGGTGAGACGGCTGCATTATTACATTCATCCTGTGGAAACAAAATAGATAACTGTGATTTAAAGGCACACGTACCCCTATCCTAATGTTTGCATATCTGCCTGCCACATGCAGTTGTGTAACGGTCAACACATCCTTTCTAAAATATCTGGCCGCCAGCTCAGATATATTCACATGTACAGCTGAAACCAGTTTAAAAAATATGTAGATAGGATTTGGAGGTAT